AATACAGGGTTGGCACGAATGCTGTAAGAAGCAGAAACAATTTTAAAAACTATGCAATGCATTATATTACTCACAGTACAAATGAACAAAAATAAAAACTGTTTTATAGGAAACACTGCATTGTTCTCCATATTTATGCTTTGAATAAACCAAACAACTATAAATTTCATTTTTCCTTCATCTGAACATCTCTATAAAGCATTTCTATTAAAAACATATAGAGCATAAAATGCGTCAAACTTACAAAACATCAGTAAGCACCCAAAAAGTGTGTATATAAATTATCATTATTTATTTTATAAAAAACTTTAAAAAAAAACTCACTGTAACTCAAGCAATCCACTATTAAACACAGCTGTTGCTTCTACATCTTTCACATCAAAGTCTAAAAACTGAAAACGTGAGATGATCTCTTTGGCAGTTTCTTGAGCACCAAAATTTTCAGCAACTTGCTTCATAGTAAATGTGTCAATTTTACCTATAAATTACACATACATACATACATACATACATACATACATACATACATACATACATACATACATACATACATACATACATACATATTTATATTTTAAAATAATAAAATAAGAAAACAAAAATACTAGCATTACCATTGAAAACAAAAAGCGGTCCTTTCTTTTGTAAAGATACAAGCATAGATTTTTCTGCCATTTTTTTAGTGGCTGTCATTTCAAAAGACCATGACCCATCAACTTTAGTCTTGATCTCAAACTTTGGTTTTTCAAGTGATATCAAGTCTTCACCTAGAATAACATCTTCTTTAGCAACAGCCTTGAGTTCAATAGCTTTTGTCTCAATGTTGATATCAAACTGCATTACTTCAATGTTGGGAGAAACTTTATATATTTTAGTAAAGAGTACCTCAGGAACTTTTTTTATGAAAGTTGACATTATATTTGCTAAATCAATTGGAGCATCTTGAAGAAAACGAAAGGCAATATGATTATCAAAAATGTACAACAAAAAATATATTGTTTCTGGTAAATGTTTTAAACTTGTTTCTAGATTTTGAATTATAGACTTTGACGGAAGTTCTAGTTTTATTTTGGTTCCTTGCAAAATCCTTTTACCATTTATAGCATACTTTGCCAAAATTCTGTTAATTTTAGCATCCTTTAATACTGTTACGTTTTTACTTGCAAACTCAATTACAACATTTAATAAAATATTACTGATTATGGGAATATTGCTCAAATCCTTACCAGTCAAAGTTGAAAGTATTTTAGTTGGTTGAGAATTGAGTTCTGCAACTATTGCAACAGCAGGTGCACTATCTGTTGGTTTGTGAACTACAAGGTAAAGCACAAACTCACCTAACTCCACTATTTCAGAAACAACTCCGCGAAGTATTATTTCAAAACTTTCATCAACACTCAAAATGCCATTGATGCTTGGTTCATTAATTATTGTGTTTGCAAATAGCTTAGCTTGTTCTGGTGTTTTATCATCATAAAGTGGCTTTTTAGAAAACACAGAAGCAAAATTAGCAATATTTATACTGCTCACTTTTAGAGAGAACTTTGCATCGGTTGATGTTTTTGGCTTTGTAAAAGCAATAGGTACAACTTTGTCGTCAATCGTTATTTCACCAGTTAGTTCAATAGCAAAATTTTTTATTGACATTGATCTGTTTATTTCTTTGTAATTAAAATTAAAATTAACTTTACCATTATCAACCTAAAAAATAAAACTATATAATAATTACATAATATAATATAATTAACATAACCATTTCTTTATCAAACTAAAAAATTATTAATTACACTTCTATTAATTGTATAAATATATAACATAAATTATAATACTTAAAAAATTATAGATTTATATAAAGAAATTATTAAATTCCATGTAAAAGTAACAATAAACAATAATCAAGTATTTCAAACCCGAAGCATTCTTTTAATAATATCAAAACTTTCTTTTGCGGTAGCTTCAAAATCGACTTCTCCATCGCAGTCAACAACAAATCTCTCTATATCCATGATGTTGAATGGCATCATATCTTTTGAAAGAGTTTTAAGCTTTTCAGTTTTAAAAAAGTATTCGAAAAGTCTAAACAATGGTCACACATACTTTAAACTTGTATTGTATTAATAAAAGTTTTACAATATGTCATAATAACATCTTAATTAAAAAATTAGGGTAACAAAAGATACAGTATGTATAATATAACATACTGAAAACATATAATAACAGTGTATCTTATTTTAAAGATCAAGATTACACACACACACACACACACACACACACACACACAAATACTCAGAACTCAATTCCACATTGAAATTTATATTGAATTCCAGTTACCTGGAAACTGATAGTTTATCTTTGCATGTTGATTCTTTTGCAAGAAATGTATATTTACAACCATCTTTAGCTAACTCTAAAATGCAACCTAATACTTCATACTTAGCACCAGTTTGAGTACCTCCACCAATCAATTTAGAAAACTGATTTGGTAAACTAGAGATTATGTCTAAAAAATAAAACAAAAAATTAAATTAGAATGGTCAATAAAATGTAATTAAATTAGAATGGTCAATAAAATGTAAATAAATTAGAATGGTCAATAAAATGTAATTAAATTAGAATGGTCAATAAAATGTAAATAAATTAGAATGGTCAATAAAATGTAATTAAATTAGAATGGTCAATAAAATGTAATTAAATTAGAAAGGTCAATAAAATGTAATTAAATTAGAATGGTCAATAAAATGTAATTAAATTAGAATGGTCAATAAAATGTATTTAAATTGATAAAATATTAATCAGTACCCAAACTAACTTTAAAAAATTTTAAAAAGGGTGATGCAGGCCTTGATGGGAAGCAAGAGCTTTAGCTCTCGCTCTTGCCCGGACTCCCTTAAAGTGATTACATGAGCAATTTACAGCTCTTGCATAAATATAACTTTTTCATAAATGTAAATCACTTATTTTTGTCTCAATTATTAGATATTGATTAGAAAAATTAAAAATTTTTATCCAAACTGCATTGGATAAAAAATACCAAGTTTCAAATTGACTTTTTTTGCTTACAAAATGTGATTGTTAATTTTTTTTTTTTTTTTTTTCTTTTTTCGCATAACACTCATTTTTTGCTTGATTTATATTATAACTTGTGGACTTGATTTATATTATAACTTGTGGATAATATAAGTTACTTTATATTACAACAATTGTTTTGTTTTTTAGTAAAGCTGAATTTTAGTATTTTATGAAATATATATACACTCATAATTATATATAATTATGAATATAAATATTACATAATTATAACACAAAGTTTTAACAGAATCAGTAAAAAAAAATTTGTCCTTTCTTTTCAAACACAGATATGCAGTGCAGAGTGATTTTTTTCTCTAAAATTCTTGGTGTGAAATACAGTGTAATATTACTATTAACATTAATGACATTATAGTCAAGTTCCCAAACTTGTTTATAAAAGAAAAGCATTATTGCTGTAACTAAGATGAAAAACGCCAAAGTCATTTTGGAAATAAACCAATAATTGCAAACTATATATATAATATGAAATTATTATGCACTCAATTATTGAGAAATATTTTACAAGCAGGAAAAACTTGAGACTCTTTTTTTTTTCGAATTTTTCATTCGAAAGTTGTTAACGAATATTAATCTTGAGTGAAAACTCAGTGAAAACTCAGTGAAAACTCAGTGAAAACGCCTCAAGAATATTTTTACTTTTTTCCCCCAATATCTACATGAACACTCGCTCTGAAACACCCTAAGAATTTTATGTTAACACAGCATTAATCATATACTGATTTTTTGAAGTTAATTTTAAGTTAATTCCTATTTGGAATGTATTCTTTTATTTTCTTATATTTTATTGCATTCTATGTTTATTCTCATTTAGTTTGTAGAAACTTTTAAATAATTTCGAATCAAAATGATAAAAATAGTTTTTAAACATAAGTAAAATAATAAGTTTTTAGAGTAAAAGATTTTAGACAATTAGATAAGATTAGTCATGATAGTAGCAATAAGAAAAAAGAAACTTTAAATTGTATAATAGAATAGAAAACATTTTTTAGATATGATAGATATTAAAAAAACTTTAAAGTTGACTGAGATTCTTTTAGTTATTTTTATTTTATTTTTGGGATGGTGTTGCTTGTCTAACAGCTCATAATTGCAAAAACTAGTTCATTTCCTAGATCCAGGCAGGTATAGAAGTTTTTATTTCTTTCCTTAGGTTTTAATTGAAATCTCATTCAACTTTAAGGTCAGGTAAGGTTTAGAATTATCATAATCACTGTGCTACAGATATCAGGTAACCCATTTACAGGGATGCTGAGTCCCAAAAAGGACTCCAGATTTAAATGTTATAAAAAGATTACTTCTTTTTAGTTTTTGGTATCCAGGATCTCTAATAATATAAAAAACGCTTATGGACTACAATTGGTAAACAAATTAAGACTTTTAGAATAGAGGAACAACCACTTTTTGAACTCGGAGTCCTTAGGTATATGGGCGGCAAAGAATGCAGGACTCCAGGCTTAAAAACAATGTTTCAAGTCATTAAACTTTGTGAGTTTTTTCTATCTAGCAGATCATAAGTTAACCAACTTTTTCAGAGCTTCTGGACACCAGAGACCAGGAAAAAATAAAAATAAATAAAATAAAGCCGGAATCCGCCCAAAATACTAACTGTCCCATGCTCTTCTGCCTTGTAGAATTTGCTTTTTTTAGAAGACCTACTAAGCAAATACTAATAGGGTTGAGCAGAATAATTCTGTTTACCAGCCTCAAACCCCTTTTTTATTTATTAGGCTGACATATGTAAACCTGTATAGCATTTTTTCCTGCCTAGAATGATGGATATTCTTGATTCTATTTATAGATTTTTGCTTGTGCCTCCTTGATAGTGGCTATGCAACTCTTCATGTTATCTCCTAATGAGGGTACAGAATTAAAACTCAGTTTAATGATTCTGAGGCCGGCTGGTAGTAAGGTTTCCCAAACTATGTGGTAACTCAGAGACACTGATTCCATCAAAAGCTGTAAAATATTAGAGTTTTAACAGGGTCATGTTGTGCATTGTGAGCCTGTTAATTCTTTTGGAGCTTTTAGATATGACACTAGGTTAATTAGCAGGAAAGACAACTGCATACATCATTGCTTGGGATACTGTGCACTATCTATGAATGATTTAAGTTCAATTTAAACTTAAACCATACCCAAAGTAATTAAAAATATTAAATATAAAAAACCATTCTCATCATCTCTTTCAATATATCTTTCACTAAGTAAAAATGATCTGAAAAATAATTTTTTATCAGTTGAATCTCTTGCAAAATTCACCAGATTTGCTTGCTTTTGTGAGACAAATTTAAATTCAACTTATCCCTTATTCAGATCTCATTATAGATGGGTACTATCTTTTGATTTGCAATACTATCCTTTGATTCACTAAGAATCTAATTGTCACATTGTAAAGAATAACCAAATGAACTATGTTGGCTCAAAAGAGCTATAATTATACTAGTCTATAACAAAATAACAAAATAACATAAAGTATATATAGTATAATACAAAACGTATATGTATACAAAAATATATCACAATAACATAACATTCACCTTCCTCTTAAAAATATTCAAATTTATAATTAAAATTTTCTGGTGCTTTAGAAATATTAAAGAGATCTATGAGGAAGAATATTATTTATAGGATTTATTTTGTTTTCTAGTTCCTTTTTGGAGATTAAAGGAGTTTTATTGCTACCATTATGGCTGGGGGATAGCTATTGATGGCTGTTACTTTTAAATTGTTTGATGTTTGTATTATAGGAGTTGTTCCAATAAGAGCCAGCTGTTTAGTAGACACTGTAGTCTCATGACCACTAGAAAATCTCACATAAGCATAATGAGGATTTGCTTCAATATGCAAATAAAAAAAAAATTTCTAGATCTAGTGGCAATTGGTTCACAACACACATGATTGGCTTGGGTGTATAGATACGCATCAATTCACTAATTTGTTAAGAAATAAGGTTTGGATCCACTGGTTATTCTTGTATGTGCCTCTGCTTAGCACTTCTTCACTCTATCACCTTTTCTCTTTGTTCCTTATCTTTCTCCTTTTTCTCAAGACCTCACTCTTTTAGAAGTATGTTCTGATCTAATTGATCATGTCTTGTCTTCTTTACCCCTCCAGCAATTTGTTGTTAAACCTAATCATTTACCTTCACTCCTTGATTTGTATTCTGTCTCTGACCATAGCTTGTGTTCAGTTTTTTCTTGTTCTCTTTTGACTCACCCAATTATCCCACTATTTATTACTACCTTAACGCTAAACCTTTTCAGGATTTTTTTTGTGATTACAATTAGATATAGCAGCTTGTGCAGCAAAAAGATAAACAAAGTGGTTACAATTAGATATAGCAGCTTGTGCAGCTGCTATACAACAACTCTTTTGAGAACAAACACCTATTTATAATTAAAAGAAATTAAATCAAAAAAATGCTGTCTGATGCTAAAATTTATGATTGCCAGTTTATTAAATCTTATATCTTGTCTCATAAGTTGGATTTTAAAAAAATCTTCAACAACATCATTAATTATGGTAAGTGTAAGATTTCATCTCTAATTCATGGACTGATCTTATTACCTCTCCCAAGGAAAAAGTAGAACTATTTACTAAAAACATTTCTTCTAATTTGACTCTTGAATCTTATGGACTAACTCTTCCTGTCATTTCAGTTGAACAGGTTAACCCATTGTTAGACATACAAATCAGTCCGGCTCCCATTGCTAAAGTTAAATCTCAATTAAAATCTTCAACAGCTTGTGGTCCAGACAATTCTTTCATAGTCTTTTCTCTCCAGAACTCTCTTCAATTCTCTCTAAACTATTTAATAAATACTTGACTGAGTCTTGTTTTCCCGTCTGCTAAAAAATGACATCCATTGTTCTAATTTTCAAAATTTTCGGAGAATATTCTGACCTCTTTAACTATTGCCCAATCAGTCTTCTTTTGATCAACAAATTTCTCACATCCCATCTTGAGTCCAATATATTCTTAGATAACACAGTTTTCAATGAAAAATTCTATTGAGCATTAGATGAAGGAGGCAAGGCAAGGGTCTTATCTAAAGCTCAACAAAGTTTGACATGCAGGTCTTCTTCATAAATTTGCATCACATGGTGTATCTAGGAAAGTTTTTGAAATTATCAAACCATTTCTTTCTAGTTGCTTTTTTAAAGTCATTCTTGAAGGGTTTTTAGTTTCTAGTACCCTGACGGGTACCTTTAGGTTCTATTCTAGGTCCTTTTTGCTTCTTATTTACATTAATGATCTTCCTGACAACCTTACATCTAAAGTAACTTTTTTTGCTGACATATCAACTTTTAAACTTCTGTCTTGACAAAAAATCTTCTCTTTTTAATTGCAGGCAGACGATCTAAAAACTGATCTCACCTCTGTAACAGATTGGGGCTTGCAGTGGTTTGT